GTGAAAAATTTGCCCAGATCACCTCGATTGCTTAATCTATGATAAATGATGCTGCTAGCCACATGTTTCAGGATTTTGAATGCTCGGGAAGAATTCTTACAGCGTGATTATGGAAACAACCAATTTCCGTAAGTGAAAATGAGCATGCTTATTAATGGAGCTGCAATTGCCTATTGCATTCAATCACATTTATAACCAGCAAGTAGAATGAATGTTTTACGTGATTTAGTGTTTACACAATTGCAGTTGCATGGCAAAGCTTGCTGTATTAGAGGCTTTGGAAAGAAGCATATGTGGTCCTTTTGCAGGTAATAAAATGGAAAATCCAATTTGCAATTGCAGAATAAGCCTCTGAGTGATATACGATCTTCATAGCAGCATCGGTCAGAGGGTCACTGCTAATCACGACGCTGCCTGGCTTCCCCAGTGGCCTGCGCCTTCCAGCTGAGGAGTGAGCAAAGTGAATCTGTGTCTGGGAGCCAGCCAGCGTGTCTGCAGATGCACCACTTTCTAGCTTATTAGATCCTCTTTGTCACAGTGCTTAATCCTGCTGCCTGATCCTTGTTAGAACACCACCAGAGCGCCGCTCAGCCTTCTAATAAAGGGGATGGGTGAGGGCTCCTAACCCAACGCACTGAAGCGTGCAGCGTCAGGGCGATTACAGGCTGACTGACAGCGGGGTGAGATGCTTCCTGCATGTTATTACTTAAAAGGGAACCTACCTCCGACAGCTGACAGACGCGCTCTGCTGAGGCAATGGTAACTTGTTGCTAGGCCAATATGAGTCGGGTGTCATCTTTTCACACAGTATAATGCCAGCTTTACTCTAATTATATTAACCCTCTTCTGAAATTGCTTCATCCCCGACTGGTGCGGAGTGAGGCAAGAGAACCAAGAGACAAATCACTTGCTGGGAGGATTGCAGTGCTACGGAAACGGGTATCCTGTTATCCACTGGTGACATTAAGTTGAAACACAAAGCAAGCCTGCCCTATCACAGCAAGTTCCGGTTCTAACTCCGAAGAGACATTGCTCCCTTTGGCTCGCACAGTTTCCATCTCCATCATTTATAATAGTTTCTTCCTTTAAGATTCACCATGGACATTATGCCTGGTTTTCATGGCTCTTTGTTAAAAAAGAAAGAACAACATCAAACAAGAAGCTTTTTTCTTTTCTTTTTTTTCCCCAGTGAACCCGAATCATTCTTTTCTGTTAGGCTCCTGTGTTCGTGTAGCTTTATGAAGCACTAGTGAATTTCATTTAGTAGCATTGCTTGTTACTGAAGTAAGGAAATGAGGGTGGGGCGGGTAAACCAGTCATCTGTCCCTGCTTTCCCTCTCCCATCCCAACTAAAATGTGCAGATGGGTTGAAAGTGATATAAGTGAAGATGATCACAAATAGCCCATGGTCCTTTCTGTTAACAGTGACTTGCAGACATCAGCGTGTGACTCCTTTTCCCTGAAGGGAGCATGTTTAGCTCGCATCCAGTGTCTCCTCTGTGCTCCAGTTAGCAGCCGTCATTAGCAATCTGTGATGCCTCTGCTGTCTCCACTGACAGCGCCTAAATAGAGACATCACTTGGGATTGACAGATCTCCAGGGGGTTACAGGCTTCAGACAAAAGGGCCCAGGGAACATGGCTGACCTTTCTTGGCATTATTCCCCTTCCATGAATGGCAGTCAGGGAGCATAGAACTCCAGTACATGATTTTCTGAGGATCACCACTGAAAAGACTACACACTTAGTAAGAAGCTGTTACTAAGTTAACAAGAGGCTGCGTGGGCTCCAGAATGGGTTTGCGGGCCGTTGGTAGTAGAACATAAGCGCTGCTTTCCCGCAGATATATGTACCTATTCCTTTTCAAGGATGGGCCTTTAAAACTGGCTTTGCTGATAACATACCTTCAGTTTCGGATGATGGGGCAGGGCTTGAGATTCAGCAGAGGCAGCTTGTGGTGCAGGCGGGAAAAGAAGAGTCTGTTCTTCTCTCTGCCCCGTGCAAGTCACCCAAGGGCAAATTTGGAATAGCTGAGGCTTGTCTGTGTCGTCCTTCCCGGACCCTTTCTCTGCTTCACGCTGTTCTCATGCTGGTCAAGGGCCCTGAAAATACAGTGGTGAGAAGTGCTCTGTGCCCAAATGTAGCTGACTTTGCTCCTCTTCTCATTCTTACCAAAGCAAAAAAAAAAAAAAAGATACGTGTTCCTGCAATTCCCCTCTGAACCAGATGTTAAAAGCAAAGCAGTTGTGTAAACGCAAAAACTGTGGACGCTTCTTCAACAGAATAAAATTCTGCCACCTAGAATGCCAAATAGATTTTTCATTGGGATAGCCAATTTTCAGGAAGAAGGAAAGATATTTAGGGCAAAATACTCACACCGATTGAATCCCGTTAGCTTAGGAATTCGTTTCTGTCCTGTTCCATAAATACGCAATTTATGCTTTTCATGGCTTCTGCTGCTTTTTTCTCATCCACTTTGCAATACACATATTTTTTCTTTCTTTCTTTTTTTTAGACAGAGTCGTGCTCTTTTCCCCAGCCTGCAGTGCAGTGGCGCCATCTCGGCTCATTGCAGCCTCTGCCTCCCAGGTTCAAGCAGTTCTCCTGCCTCATCTTCCCGAGTGTCTGGGAGTACAGGTGTGCAGCACTGCACTCTGCTAATTTTTATATTTTTAGCAGAAATGGGGTTTTGCCATGTTGGCCAGACTGGTCTCGAACTCCTGACCTCAAGTGATCCACCTGCTTCGGCCTCCCAAAGTGCTGGGATTATAGGCATGAGCCACTGCGCCTGGCCAAGAATACACATATTTTTTTCTAAACAACTCAAATTAATTTTTTTCATAGTTGATTCCATACTGATGTCTGTAGGCAGACATTAGAGACAGGAAGATGACAAGAAGTAAGCACAGGTTGTTTCTCAGGTGAATGTTTAAAGAGAGACGGTTGCGCTCCGGCACTGCCATCCCCAACCGATAAGTGCATTGCTGCACGGTGGTCACTGTTGTCTGGTTTGTAATCCCTTCCCTTAGTGGCGCCGCCTCCTAAGCACGATGGGCAGCTTACCATTGTGCAAATAAAATATGACACGTCGGAAACAAACTTGTTTTTAAATGCGTGGCTTCTTTCCAGAAATGTATATTATATTCATTTTTAGGAAAAGGGAAGATTGGAGAAAAAGAATTCATGAAGGAATTGTAAGTAAGACAAGATATATCGAATGCAGCAAATGAGATTTTAAGAGGAAATGAGAATTATAGAGAAAAGTAAACAACAGGTCAGTTTCATTGTTGGGACTCTTAAAAACCACCTCCCTAAAGATAAAAAACAAAGATAAAAAACAAAGATCGATGGCAGCCCCTTCCCAACGAGATCAAACCCAGGTGAGATAGTCAGCTAAGCAGAATGCATACCACCCCTGGGTTTTCATTTGCCCTCGGCAGCTTTCTGACTCATGGTTTAGAGAATCAAGCTCATTAATTTCCCAAGTGACTTAATATCTGACTAAATGCTTAAGCATTAATTGACAATATTGATAATCTTGGAGAGAAATGGATCTGCTTATTTTTATACCAAGGACCAACAAATTCTTTGTAGCTTTGGAAAGATGAATTACTCTCTCTTAATATTTAGTAGTTTCTATTGTCTTTAAAAAGATTTTGTGAAATTGTGGTCATTTTTCTTTTCTTTGTTTTTCTGAATCGTTGAAGTTCATATAACAAAAAAGAAAGATTCAAATTATCTCTTATTTTAAGAAGCAATATTGGATTATCTTCCTCATAAAAAAATGTCATTTATCCTTTCATTTTCAAAGCTCAGATCAGCTGGGAAATTACTTGCTTTATGCTACACTTGCATCCCAGAATATGTTTTCATTGCCCTGAGTTACCACCTATGAAAACATAGACAGTAGAGCCTTGGAACAGCATATAACTTCGGTTGTGTCTTAGAATCATTGCTGTATCTCTAGGTTTAAACAGTCCCAGGCTGTGGACAAGAAGTCTCAAAATTGATTTCCTCCATAGGACTTTTAGGGACAGAGCTTCGCATACATCCCTACTTCCTAACTTCTCTTTCTGTTTCTCGCTTTCATAGGTGAGTGCATTTTAGGAAGTTCTTTCATACATTGCCCTTTCCATTTTTGAATATATATATGTATATATAAACAGTTAACTGGTCATAAACAGAGGTGATCCAGATGAAGGGTGCTTGCTGGCTTTTTTAGGCTACCTTCATTAACTCAACCTTATCTAGATTGACGTGTGCCCTGACGACCTCAGCAGACACTGTGGGAGGAATATGAGATTGGGGGTCAGGTTGAAATCTTCACGCCGGCTTTGTCTGATCTTGGGTACAGTAGTTAATTTCCTTAAGTTTCCATTTCTTCACCTATAAAGTAATGCTAAGATCTGACCTTAGGGATTGCAGGAGAATGAAATGGGGAAATGATTTTAAATGGTAATTTATAAACTGATCAGAGCTAAACAAATGTTACTCTTTATCACTACTATGTTAATGAGATTCATTTAGGGCTGATTCCCAGATGTGCTTTTGCTCTTATACTTGAGTAATGCAACAATTTGACTTGGGTAATATCCCTGTCTTACTCTATTCATATGCTATCTTGATTGATGAAAAAAGTGATGTTGATCAGATTGGGCTTAGATCAGACAGGAAGAGGCGTGATGCGTACTGACATTGTCAGGATAGAATTTCAGGTGGTTTTCATATTATCACTTCTCTTAATCGTGAAAAAGTCATTTTTGTCTTTGCTGCAAATACCTCCTTCCCTCCACTTCTTTTTCCATCTGTCTTCTTTCTTCCTTCCTTTGTTCTTAATTTCCTGGGCCAAGGTACTGTGATGGCTTCAGTTAAGAAATTTAAAAAACATCAGATGATCCAAAAGGTACTTAAGGTTGGCTGTGATTACTGAGAAGGACGTCTTAGACCTGATCTGTTTTGGATGAAGTGACCTTCTCATTTTTTTTTTTCTTCATCTTTTCAGGAAACTTGGATTTAACTGGTCAGAAGCAGGTATTCAAAGCCGAGAACAATCCCTGGGTGACCCCCATTGCCGACCAGTTCCAGCTTGGAGTGTCCCATGTTTTTGAGTATATCCGTTCTGAAACATACAAATAGTAAGTAGACTCTGATTTTCTGAAATGGTAGACTGTGATTTTATAGTATTTATAATTATGCCTTTAAAAAATTATCATGTGACAGTATCCTGTTGGTGGCAGTTAACACATAGCATTTTAAAAAGTTTTATTAAAAACTGAACGTCAGCCAGGCATGATGTGGCTCATACCTGTAATCCTAGCCTTTGGAGAAGTTGAGTCTGAAGGATTGCTTGAGTCTAGGAGTTTGAGACCAGCCTGGGCAACATAGCAAGACCCCGTCTCTACAAAATAAAAAGAAAAATAAATGATCCAGGCATGGTAGTGCATGCTTGCTGTTGAAGCTATTCAGGAGCCTGGGTTGGGAGGATCACTTGAGCCCAGGAGATTGAGGCTGAACTGAGCCATGATCATGCCCTACACTCGAGCCTGGGTGAGAAAGCAAGACCCTTTCTCGAAAGAAAAAAGCAGAAACAAGAAAAAACAGCATGTGGTCATTGTCTCTATTTGTACATTGTTTTTCATTGACGTTTTCAAGGGGATTTATACCAATTTTCTTTGGAGAATTTTTGAGGTATTAAATTAGTTGAATATTCATTGCACTAAGGGAATTCACCATTCAGATCAGAACATATATTCTTTTTCTTCTGTGAATGCAAAGAATTACAAGTGTTCTGAACAAAATTGTTAAGCAGTTTATTTATAAAATCAGCAGAGAGTACTAGCATGCGTCATTCTATTATAGAGAAGCTTTTACTCTAGTGAGATGATAATCTCTTAGAGAAAAGGAAAAGGCTGGAGAGGAGGCGGGATCTGTCAGCTTAAAGTCACAGCATCAAAATTCCTCAACCCCTCAGTCCAGGTGAAGGGAGTCTGTGCAAAACTGTCCAAAAAACCTCACTATTCCTGCGTCTTTCTTCCTCCGTGTGTTGAGGTTGAAAGGAATTCTGCCACTTCCACCTACTTCTGTTGTTACATCTGTCATCGTCATTTTCCTACCTTATCCCAGCCCCCCAGCTGCAAAACAAACTATCATTTATCACAATGCATGCCTGACCCCAAATGCTGAGATCTAGTATAATTTTAAGCATCTACAAAAAAGATGAAAGCATCCTTAGTCAAATATAATCCGTGTTTGTGTCTGGCATCAACTTTTTAAATTTATTTTTAAATTTTTATGTGTTTATTTATTTTGAGATGGAGTATCGCTCCGTCACCAGGCTGGAGTGCAGTGGCGTGATCTTGGCTGACTGCAACCTCCTCCTCCCAGGTTCAAGTGATTGCCTTGCCTCAGCCTCCTGAGTAGCTGGGACTACAGGCGCGCACCACCACACCTGGCTAATTTTTTGCGTTTTAGTAGAGACGGGGTTTCACCATATTGGCCAGGCTGGTCTCCAACTCCTGACCTCAGGTGATCCACCTGCCTCAGCTTCCCAAAGTGCTGGGATTACAGGTATGAGCCACTGCGCCCGGCCTTATTTTTATTTTTTTTTAAGAGACGGGGTCTCGCTGTATTACTGGGCTGGAGTTCAGTGGCATAATCACAACTCACTGAAGCCTCAAGTTCCTGGGCTCAGGCAATTTTTCCACCTCAGCCTCCCAAGTAGCTGGAACTACAGGCACGCACCACCATGCCCAGCTATTTTTTTTTTTTCACTTTTTGTAGAGATGGAATCTCCCTATGTTGCCCAGGCTGGTCTCCATCCTCTGGTGTCACTCCCAGTAGAACCCTCTGTGAATCTGCCAGGCCAGTGGGTTGGGATCGATTGGCAGGACAGAGCCTTTGTCTAGAAATGGCTGGCTGTATTTCTATAGTCTTTCAGCCTGAGCACCATGCTGCTGGTCAGACATTCACGGCTTGCTGTGTTCATGTTTCCACCAGACAGAAACAGAGAACACAAGCTGTAAAGAATAGTGGCTGGCCCAAGTATGGTTGCTCATACCTGTAACCCCAACACTTTGGGAAGCCAAGGCATGTGGATCACCTGAGGTCAGGAGTTCGAGATCAGCCTGGCCAACATGGTGAAACTAAAAATACAAAAATTAGCAGGGCATGGTGGAGGGGCACCTGTAATCCTGGCTACCCAGGAGGATGAGGCACAAGAATCGCTTGAGCCTGGGAGGCAGAGGTTGCAGTTAGCTGAGATCCTGCCACTGTACTCCAGCCTGGGCAACTCCATCTCTGAAAAAAGAGAACAGAACAATGGACTTAAAACTAAATACAATAAAATTGCCAAAATGATACCATATCCTCCTATATAAAAGCAACATAAAGCATGGTTTCGATTACTTTAGACAACATTGTGACACTTACAATTTAAGTCTAAAGACTTACCTTAAAGATAAAATGAGACAGGTATAGGATGTGTATTAATTGTTTCAAAAGTCATATGGATATATACAGTTATTACAGATTCTAACTTTTTTTAAAAAACAATTAAGCTCACCCTTGGAAATTAGTTAATTGTGAAAATGTAGCCACAAATTAGCAGATGATTGTTTATCGTGTTCCTTTTAAATTGTTCATCATTGCTATCATTTGTTTTAGATGGGACTCTAATTTTTCCTTAGTAAACAGGAAGCTATTTAGACCTTGGTTTGTACAGTATCTTGAAAAAAGTCATTCTAATATGATAGTATACAGAAAAATACATGAACAAACTCCTAGCCATCCAGAATTGGAGGAAATTATCTGTTTATTATTCTGATTAACAATTTTTCATTTTCCATAGTTCCGTTTATAATTTATAGAGGATGAGAATATGTTGCATATGAGAGTGCTTTTAATTTTAAAAGATTAAATTGTGAACTTATGAATTTTATATTACCTCAAAGTCATTATTAGGCAATTAATCTCCATTATGCACTGTTAGAGACTATTTTAATTTATTTGAATGTGGTTAGGATTCCGGATAAATGAGAGGTACCTATAACATAATAGGTGAATCTGTTCCTATCTGTCTTATTATCACCCTGTTTTGGGGAGTTAGGATAGTCCAAGCAGTGCATCTGCTAGCTTGCGTTTTCTCTGTGATTTCCTCATGGAGCCCTGGATTACTTTTCATGCAGTTAGCATTAAAAAACTTCAGTAGGCTGGGTGTGGTGGCTCATGCCCACCATCCCAGCACTTTGGGAGGCCAAGGTGGTGAATCACTTGAGGCCAGGAGTTCAACACCAGCCCAGCAACATGGTAAAACCCCGTCTCTACTCAAAATACAAAAATTAGCCGACTGTGGTGGCAGGTGCGTGTAATCCCAGCTTCTTGGGAAGCTGAGGCAGGAAAATCGCTTGAACCGGGAGGCAGAGGTTGCAGTGAGTCAAGATGGTGCCACTGCATTCCAGCCTGGGTGACATAGTGAAACTGTGTTTCAAAAAAAAAGAGAGAAACTTCAGTAAGCACATGAGAGCCATTGTCCGCTTTCTAGGGGGACCAGCTGGCTCTGTGATGGCTGCTTTTGGGGGCATCTACATGATCCTCTGCTGGGCGGTCACAAGAGACAAACTCCACTAAGGCAGGGATCTGTTTTGAGTTCTCTTCTCTCCTCCTTGGGAGGGAGAAGAGGGTTGGTTACCTCGTGTGTATCAGTTTTTTGCCCTCCTCTCATTCCCCTGTAGTAGCTATCATCACCCCTTTGCAAACATACTAGCCCAAAACATGGACTGTTAGCTGAGTAAGACAATAAATCAAACTCTTAGTCATTTAAAGAAAAAATCACTACTTAGTAAATGCCGCTCTTGTGTTCTGCCAGATTAACACACACAGATTTTTAGAATTAAGGGCCTCTTTGTATGAATAGATATGTACTATATTAGTATATCCTCATATAATTGAGCCCAATTGAACTGTTTGAAGCAGCCATTTCATAATTAGGGTTTTTTAAATATTCTATCGAAAAATATTATGCTAATTAGCAGGTACTTGGCTACTTTTTGAAAATGTTTTACATGTGGCAGCCTTCAGGGTGGGCAGTTTATTTGTGATATTCATAGTTTTTTTAAAAAAGCAAATTTCACATTCAGTGCCTTCGTTTTTGATCTTCTCTTCTAAAACCTAGTTTCTAATTTTCACTTCTTTGTCTCCTTTGTTTAAGCCGCATACATCCCCTTTATTAAAAATAATCCTTATATATTTATCAGTGTCTGTTGCGGCTGTGTGTTTCTCTTTCTTTAAATTACCATTAAGCATACTTTTGGCTTTTGCTCTTAAAATACCTGTGAACCTCCTCCTCCTTCCCTCGCCCCCTTTTTTTTTCTAACCAGTTAACCCATTACTGGAATGAGAGCAATAAAGAACTAAAAAACTTACCGGAACGTTTTCATTCACGTCCGTGCTTGACTTTCACAGTGACCTTCCTTGGAGTACATTCTCAGGTTCTTCTGAGTCTAGGGCAGAGAAGATGGACGATCTGATTTATAGGTTCTAATGGACTCCAAGAGGAGACATGGATGCTTGAAAGAAAACAATGAATTCAGTGTGTCAGCAGAATTAAAATACTGGGGATGACTTAGCTTCATGAAGACAGGAACTTGTTCTGTTAAGCAGGAGGGGTGTGGCCGGTGATTGCTCTCTTTGGAGTAACATTTTGGGTGTTAATCATGTCCCATTCATCATTTCTCAGGTGGGAGCTGCTCTCCGTTCATCTTTTGTTCCTTCCACAGGGGAACATGTTGGGTGGTGTCATTTGGTTGCCGGTTAACATAAAATGATGTGCTTGGTTGGGCTGTTGAAGCTCACATCCTACACACTCCTTTGTCTTTTTAAACTGTTGCTGAGTTATACAATCACCTGTTAACTCTTTATTTGATGGTGGTTGTCTCTTTGACCTCTTTTATTTCTGGGAAGCAGAATTATGATGGAATGGTCACCACTTGTGAAGTTTCCAGAGGTAGATGTTTTTTCCACCCCGGGAGGGGCAGTCACGTTGAAGTCAGCATCCTTGACAAGATTCTTTGTGAAAGAGGGTAACTTACACTTTTCACATTTCCATCAAGGAAGGTGGATAGCAACTCCAAGCCATTTT